ATTAACGTTATTTTGATACGTCTCTCGTTCATCTTCAACGATCATATAATGTATTATGATGCAGGCGAGCATGATATTGTGGAGTATGTCGGTATCCCACGCCAAAGACGGCTTTTTAATAATGGCAAAACGAGCTTGAAGGATCATATTTTGACCCAAATTTTTTTTCTTCTTTCTATTTGTTTTGGGGTTGGTATTAGCATCCATAATTATAATTTATATTTGGAAAAAATAAAAATTTAATAATAATAATAATAACGACAATAATAATAAAAATAATAATAATAACGATAATAATAATAAAGGAAATAATAATAATAACGATAATAATAATAAAAATGATAATAATAACGATAATAATAATAATAATAATAATAATAATAATAATAATAATAATAATAATAATAATAATAATAATATTAATAATAATAATATTGGTAATTATAGAGGGGATTTTTGAAGAGAAAAATATAGTAGAAAGAAATGGATTTTCAAAGTTGAAGAAAGTATAGCAATATGGGTGTCTATTTATAGAGGGGAAAAAAATAGAGCCGTTGGTATTTTTTTTTTTTTTTTGATTTGTGTTTTGTAAAATATATCCGTTGCAAAATTACAACGGATTTATTTAAAACAGTGACACGTGTCAAGCTGCGGCTGGGCCAAGTGGCGCGCTCCCAGCCGCTGCTTTCTATTTTTTTCCTGAAAAAAAAATAAAAATGGGTGGGGCCCACAATCCATAAATTCGTCCAAATGCTTGCAGCAGCAATCGATCCCACAACCATTCACTATGAACAATTATAGAGATCACCATTAAGCCACCCATTCACTTGTTCACCCATTGTGAACTATTTTTTTATTCACCCTTAAGGCTGCCCTAATATAGTGTATGCGCCCTCACTAATTTCTTGACTTGAGAAACTTAAGATCTAATTTTATTATCATAGAATTATCAAAATAAATAGGCAATATTAAACATCTGTCTCCTTTTTCTTTTTTTCTTTTTTTTTTTTTTTTTTTTTTTGACAAGTATGTTGAACATCTCTTTCATTATATATGCATACAATAATTATACTCTTTTCTGTTCTTGTTAATTCGTTTCAGTGTGTTTTTTCAAAATCTTAACATGATCTATTAACTATCAAATGAGTATATTGGAGACTACACAAAATGCAAATAGACAATTGTGTGAGAAACAGAGAAAGTAGCTAGATCAAAGCTTATATACATATTTAAAATGTATTCTATTTATCTGACTTTTACTTATCTAATAAATTTACTTTAGTAGTAGATTGATCGAACTTGAGTGTTCCTTATCACTTATTTTAGTAAAAATAAGTGGAGACAATAAAAGATAATACTTTATGGAAAATTGTTGTCAACAAGCTGGTAATTCTAGCTTCTAAAAAATTGTTGTCTACCCTTTTCATCACAATAAAATATAATTAGTAAAATCTAGAACTGTTAATTTAGAAATAGAATGACAAATATTATCTGTGATTTACTAAACTATATTACGAAGTAACTCATTTCAAGATCGTTTTTTTAGGAGAAAATAAAGTTATCCATCAACTAATATTAAAGTGGTTATGTAATTGTAAGATTTGACAACATACTATTGTCGTCTTAGTACAACTTAAATTTTAGTAATAATGTACTCGTATCATAAATTCATGCACGAACATAAACAAATGTATGATAAACATCTACTGATCTACTTACATGTATAAAATCAGGTTTAATAGGTTTCAATAAGTACTTAATTTATATTTAAAAAACAAAAAAAAAAAAAAAAAATCCCCTCAAGTATGAAGGTATAATAAAACCTATGGATGATGCATGACTAGAGTTTTGAAAAAATGAAAAAAATATAATAAGTAAATAAAAGAGAAAATATATAAAGCTATAGTCTCTTAATGTAACCAACCTAAATACAGAATTATCAAGAACCTTTGCATAAAATTGTTTGATTTCATCTTATAGCTTGAACCCTTAGGATGACCGATGGCGGGGTGGCGAACCGAGCCGAGAATGATCTAGACAAGTTATCAGGCTCAGCTAAGGCCAAATCTTTATCTTCAAAGTTTTTGGAATAAGTATAAGAGTTATAAGGCACTATCATAGGGTTTGAACCATAAGTTTTCTTTTCTTTCCTAAATTTTCTTCTTATTCTCCTGAAAAACCCTTGCATTTTGGATGATGATGTTGATGAAATTGATGATATTGTTGGTAGTGATGAGGTTGATCTTGCCCTTGCCCTTGTCTCGGCCTCGGCCTCAACACGGGGTTGCTCGAACGACGGACGACGGTGGCCATTATGGTGTTCCAAGAAGTTTTTAAGAAGATAAGTAGATTGTGGGATGTTGTTTTTGCTTGAGCATGATAATGATCTCCAATGTTTGTTTTCATCCATTATAAATGACATAACAAAATAATAATTTGGCTAGGATTTCATGGGAAAAAGGGGAGAATTTATATGAAAGAATTTCATAATAAGTTTGTTTGATGTAAAAGAAGATTAATTGAGGAAGAGATATTAATTAATCAAGAGATAAAGTTTGTTGGCTAAGTCGGAAATGTAAGCTGGCTTAAGTTGGAAATATAACATTTGTATTATGTTGCTTATATGTTTGACTATGTGTGAGGTGGCTGGATGGGTTGGTATTTGTCATACTTGTCAAAGGCTAATAATGTTATCCTATTAATATTTAAATTAATTAATTTAAGCAACTTAATTAATAAGGGTACTAATGTACTTTTTTTTTTTTTTTTTGAATGAAGGGTACTAATGTACTCTACCATCAATATTTGAGGTGGAATTTTTTAATTTTCCTAATGGTTTTTTTTCCTAATAAGGTGGTGCATGGAGTACACGATTATGTCATATTTGATTTTGAGGGATTTTATTAGTTAGGGTGATTTACAAATCAGAAATTTAATCACTACGGAGTACATAATATTGACCAAAATTTTGTGTCGACAACTTGGCCATAAAATCATAGTATTACAACCAAACATACTTGGTAGAGTTGTTGGTAGAGTTGGTGAAGAACTCACCTTGTAACTTTAAAAGTTTGAGTCTCACCAACTATCGGGGTTATTCATCCCAAGTCCTACATGAAAGACATAAGGAGAAGAGAACATCCTTATAAGTAGAAGCATTCTAATTAATGTGAGGCTTGTTGAAAAGGTGCTCAAAAACAATCCGTGCGGGGTAAACCCAAAGCAGACAATATCAAACTAATGTGGAGTGAAGTGTACTTGCGGCCCAATAAGATGAGTGATCCGACCGTAATACCAACTATATTTGCTTGAAAGTAGGGAATTTTTTACCTCCCCTCTATTCTCAAACGTTAAAATCATAGTATTAAGGCTAAAATAATAAAGTTGCATGGGTCAAATTTCACTTAGGCCTTTTTTTTTTTTTTTTTTTTTTTTTTTATTTTTATTTTTTAATGATAGATCAAAATGAGCCTGACATAACACATGACCAAAAATACATGCCTAAAAATTCCAAATTAGTAGAGGTGCTACACTGCTACACTGCATGATATGCATAATTATTTTTATGATATGCATATTATCATTTGATGGAATTCCTTCAGAAAATAAAATTGATGGATGGAAAAAGGAGGACCACAGATGATTTGATACGTATTCATAGACCACATACATAACACTGAATTTATCACTTGTTTTTGTAATGAAAAGACATCTAACCTTCCATGTATTTTTTGTTCAAAGAAAAAAAATCTAGTATAACCTCTTTTTTTGGTAACTAAAGAGAGACTAAGCCTAAAAAAGAAACAAAAACAACAAATCAACAATAAAATTTGGTAAGGCCACTAGATAAAATTTAGCTTGCTAAATAATTCTTATAGTGGGGTTTATATAATTATAGTCGCATTCACTTGTTTAAATTCAACATATTAATTTTTCTTAATTTATATAAATCTAAGTGGTATCAGTACGTACGTACGTGCAACCACTCTATATATATGAATATAACCTTTTTATAACGTATTTTTTTGGCCAAGTGTTCATCACCCAAATCATATGGCACAAAAATAACTCCAATCCAGAACTTTTGGGACTCTATCCCCTCCACACAAACTCCAAATATTAACATATAGCTCAACTCTTTCAGTCTTTCTTTACGGCATCTAACTTCACCTTCATTCTATTATATATATCATATATATGGCCTTATAAAATAACGAAATCTATATATATATTTTTTACTTTTTTAAACTTGGCCTCTAAATTTTTACTTAGCTATGTGCTATCCAATTGCCTCGTTCCCTACCGGTGCCAATGATGATTCTCTCGGAAGCCAACCTAGGAGAGGCACACGGCGGTCACCAGAGATGGTTGTGGAGGTGGTGGTGGAACGCGAGGTGGCTATAAGCCGCGGTTATGATGGAAGAGAGGGACAATGTGTTTGTTCACCCACAAGTCATCCAGGATCCTTTAGGTGTAGGAATCATCGTTCTGATTATAAGTGGACTAGTCATGCTAAATCTTGATAAGCTCCAAAACCATGCTTTACATAAAAGCTATAAATATTGAATTTGTTTGTATTGTTGTATGATTTTGTATGTGAAATGGTAAATTTGTTTGTACTTGTAATTTTCTTGGGTTATTTAATTTGGTTGTATTATTTGGAATTTTGTGAGGAAAATGCATGGCCTTTGATTTGATTGTTCTCTCTCCAATGACATAACAAGGTTTTAACAATTTTAGGAAAAAAAATAAAAATAAAAATAAACCATCAGCGTCTTAATTTGATGGTTTCCAGATTATTTAAGAATACTCTTTAAAATTTAGAACTGATGAAGTGTTGAGTTTAAAATGAAACAAAATTTAGTACCTGCAATGTGTGCACGAATGTCCAACCTTTGGCACGTCCATGTGATTTGTCGTGACATGTTGTGCAACCACTTATAATCATCGTGCCTCATGCAAAGCTAGCTAGCTAGCTAGAATGTAAATAAAATAGTTTGTTGTGAAATGACTTTCAAGCTAACATACATTACTAGTCTTTAGTACATACAAATTAACACAATTACATAATTGTTACTAAATGTAGATTACACAACTAGGATCATATATAAAAGATCAATCCCTCCATCGAATTAATCTTCATATGATCACGTCAATTAATCTCCCATTACATGGAGAAACTTTGTTTAACATACATCTAATTGTACATAATTTTATAGCCGAATAAAGCTATAATTAATTAATTATATGACTTTATGCACAAGACCTAATGACCTATATGTGTATAAAGTTCTGTTTAGAGCTTAAGAGCTAGAACTTTGCACCCAAACTTAAAACGTGTAGATAGTAATATCATTTCACTAAGTTACTTATTAACACGATATGATCGATCGAGTTGCCCTTTTCTTGCCTTCCAAACTAGGCGTCACGCTTTTCCTCCAACTACAAAAATGAGCCGAGAGAACACTATTAGGTACTTCATTAGATTAGATCTTATAAAACTACGTATGAATTAAGTTACCTAAAGGTGAGGGTTTTACTAGGGTTTATTAACCGCAAGATCCTTTTCAATTTCGAGCTTACATTCAATTCAAATAAAAATTAGTTGAATTAACTTTTTAAAAGAAGTGAGAGTGAGGGAAGTTTTAACATAGCTCAAGTGGTTAGAGCTTCCCTCTCGATTTCAGGAGATTTTGGGATTGATTCTCACCCCCCTGTGGCTCTCTAAACACCAAAAAAAAAAAAAAACTTTTTTAAAAGAAGTATAAACATAGTTAGTATCACTACTCTAGCAGATATTGATTTAACTTAATAATATGCTCGGGCTACCTTTTCCTCCAAAAAATTTGATTATTTGCTTTTCTGTTTGTTTAACTGATTATTAGCTACCTTTAATCAAATTAGAACAACTAAACAAGCAAAATTATTAGGAATTATACAGCTTAATTAAAGCAATAAGGCAATTATTAATATGATTATGTATAATAAGCTCACCTCAGGGTAGCAATTTTGACTTGTGAGTGTCTGCTGCTTCAAGCTCACAACAATTTCACATGATATCTTACCCTGTCAAAAGAGAATTGAAGCCCGCATATATAAACATTCTCAAAATTAGTTTATTGAAACTAGAAAGGTATATATATAGATTATAGATCATTAAAAAATTGTACGAGAAAGGGAAAATAATGAATCATATGTACGGACTACGTTCTAAAGAAGCCAAGTTCGATTAACGTATAAATGCTTAGGGTGCAAATGAGCTAATATGTTCACCAACAAATTCGGCTTAAAGTTTTAAACTCTTAAGTTAATGAATAAGTAATTGAGTCGAGCTTGAATAACATAGTTCTCCTCAATTGAATATTAAACATAAAGATCTAAGAGAGATCATTCAGATTAGTGTTAAAATCGAAAGTATCCACCAGAAAAGAGGGATGGAAGAAAAAATTGCGACAGAATCATTTATCAAAGATATTGCATGATCTATACCTAATGAGTACTAATTAAGTTGTTTTTTAATTCGATAATGCATCCAATTACGCAGTATCTCATTAGCCAAATATCAATAATTGAATACATCAAAATTATTCTCTGCGACCCTTCTTCTTTATTCTATAATGTATCATATATAATTATTGATTTACATAATTACATTAGTATAATTCATAATTAATTTATAAAACTTGTTAACATAGATCTCACATGGCACATTGGCACAAGCAATGAAGGGTACATTAGGTTTAATTTGTTTGAAGCTCAACACGCAGAGTTTTAACACGTTACTAGTTCAAATTACACTATTAATGCAATGATAAAACGAGATCAGGGCTAACCTTAAGGGGAACTTGAAAGAAGGCGAAACCGAAGGAACCATCAACTTGAGTGACAGTATCAAACTGAATAAACCCTTTAGCCAAGTCCTCCACCAAGTAAATCAACTCCCTAACAACTTCCACCCTAGTAAACTCCACTCTCGTGTCCACGTAAGACGACCCTTTAGCCCTCACGTGGCCTCCACCGGACATCACGTGACCTAGCTCCTTCCCCCTATACCCGATCGCCACGTCGAGGCTAGAGTAGTCCATGGAGTACACCGCCTTGTTCCTCACCCTAACCGTAGCATCCAACGAAACATCGACAGATATACGCGGGCGAGTGTGGATCCTTACGTGGTGCGTCCTCATTCGTACGATCTTTACGTCGGGATCCGACGGCCATAGTACGAAGGTAGATGTGGCAATGATTAGTAGGAAGAGAGTAGTCTTGTAGATTTTTTTCCAAACAGGGGGGTCAAAAGTAGGGAGGTTGAAGGGTAGGTGTAAAACGACGTAGTTTGGGGGACGTCGTCGGGGTTCGAGTGTCGGAATAAGCGGGTTTGGGTCGAGAATTTTCCTTGACTCCATGGATGGCTGGTTCTAGGGAGAGAAAAAAGAGAGAAGGAGAAGACAGATAGAGGGAAAGAGGGGAGGAAAGTGGATAAATTTGTCTATATCTTATAAGGATGCATTATTATCATTTTTTCTAGGGTTGGTTTATTCGTTGTTGTGCAGTAGTAGGACATACTGCATACAAAAAGAGTCAACAGGAAGCTAAACATTACGGAGTATTATTGTTCGAAATTTCCAGTCTTGATGTATTCCATACTAGGAAACACGTACGGATACACTGACTGATGTTACTTAATGTTCTGGGTGAGATCCGATAACTTGTATCTGGACCGGTAATAGTTTATCGTCTAATTGGGTATCAGCACAGTTAACGTAGATTGGCTTTTCTGGAGTTTGTCCGAGGATAACCGCTCTAATGCTAAAGTCAGGGATGATATGAATAAGAATAATGCAATTTGAGAGTGTTTATATATATATATATATATATATATATATATATATGTTGGGGTATTTATGAAAATCCCCTAATATGTCACATGTTGGTGTACATGGGTGTCTTGTCAAGTGGGCGGTGGGTGTCCATTTGTCCTGAAGCAAGTATCCACGTGGATGACAATAAATGCCGATATGGGTAATTGGCCAGTATTGGACATGATCTAAATGCGAAAATCCAACCCGATTACCTAATTTATATCAGTGCGGTATCATCCCACACATGTATTCGACACACAATACTTGAAAAACATACGAAGACACGGGTAACGCATCCAACACAAACAATAATAGCAAAATCATACTATGAGCCTGGTTCACACTATGAGTATCTAAGGCCATACCTTGCAAAATCATTTAACCAAATCACCTAAATAAACTCATGAGCAGCTCATTTTTAAAACAAAAAACCCACACAACCACTAATTTGATTTTAATTAAAGAGCATATAAGTGAACTAACTTAACATAGCCAAAATAAGGAACCATTATCCATGAGATTCCGGCCACCACTGGTAGAACATCTCCAGACGGAAGAAAAATAATGAAAAATAATTTCTTAATTAAGGCCATTTTGTATATTTGAATAATAAGAATGGTAAATTCTTAATTAAGGATATTTTGTATATTAAATTCTTAATTAAGGCCATTTTGTATATTTCAATGTGACATTTTTTACAAGGTTGCCTAAACTCCCTTCCTGAATCAAGTGTAGATTTCCACTCTAGCGACCTTTTTTTTTTCTCCATGATACAGACTGTTGTGGCTCAAAGATGTCAATGTCTGGGAGTAAATTGTTTTCTGGTTCAGAGTTTATGATAAAGGATCTTAATGTTGTAGTATAATATTAATCTCGCATGATGGCAGTTAATTAAAAGGTCTAACAAGAAGCTAATAACCCTTGTTAGATCATTATTATGCATTTTAAAATGGCCTAAGAAGCAGTTAATAACCCTTGTGAGATCGATATCTCGATGAATGCCTCAATCAAGTTTGCTTCATCAAATGCTTTCAGAGGATAATCAGAGTAATTTCGTTAATTCAACCTCTGTATCTTCACAATTACAATCTGGTTATGCAACTACAAATCTACAACTACCACTTAATGCTTATATATAATTATATAAACGCAAAATTTTACACACTTGTATATTTTAATAGGGCATTTTTTCACCCCTCTCCTTCCTCCGAAAAGAACAAATAAATTTTTTGACAAAATATATAAATACTAACTTCAAATTCATCCAGTTAAATACCAGTTCTATGCATTCGTGGTTTCCTTTTGTTTACGACTCTGAGAAGAGTGAGTGAGACTCTTCAGATTACTGTACATATCTGAAGCAGAAAGCGCAAATTCTGATAGTGTTCGGAACAACTCTGGCAATCGAGTCTTAAGGCTTGCCAGTGACTTCTCCCTTACCTGAGTACATAGCCGTTCGTAACTCTCAGTATCCTCTTCAAGTTTCTTCTTAGCATTCTCCACCACAAATTCCTTCTCCACCATAAGTTCATCCTTGTGGACAAATTCATCTCCGATAGAAGCAGGGTCAGCATCATCGTTAGGAATCTTTTTTTGCATATACTCGCTAAGCCATTTATTATAGTGGCGCTGTTTTTTATCCAAATCCCTTCTCGATTCTTCCACCTTTGCCCTTGATCTCATTTCTTCTTCCTGTTGTTGGACTATAGTATCCAAAAGAGCAGCAAAGTTATGTATTGCACTCTTTGCATGCTCGTCGGGGAGTTTATCAAGGTGATCATGCCAGGCAAGGAGGAGGACTTGAATGGGAGGATTCTGAGGCCTTGGAGGAGAAGAAACCTTCTCTTTCAAGTTGCTTTCAATAGGAATAAGATTAAGTTTTAACCAGCTGTTAAGGGCTTTGATATACTCTTTCTGATGGTTCACCATTTTTTCAAAACTTGTGTGCCACTCCTGAACTATAGCCCAAAGCTGAAAGGTTCGCTCGTGGTGTTGGTTGGTTGTTTCCTTAGTGGACTGGGAGATGTCAATCAATCTTAAGTTTGAAGCTATCTTTACCTGATTCTGATGGTGCACTTGCATAGCTTCCCACATTGTGGCCATCCTAAGAGACACCAAAGCAAATAAAATGAAATGAGAAAAAAATAGTAGAGCTATGCAAAAATACTGAGGATGCATGAATGTTGAAAGCAATCTACAGCCGTATACTACAAGAGAGGAAATTTCAAGATTCTGTTCAGATATATTTGAGGTGATCCTCTTACAAAACTTATCAAAGTCCTAATGCTTATTTTTTTTGTTATTTAAAACTAAAAAAATTCCCTAGACAATGTGTTCTCCATGAGCAACAATTAAGTAGGACCGTAGAGGCAAAAAATTGTCAAGAAAATTTCTTAAGAGTTTGCTGTTTGCAGTTGTTTTCCTCTTTTACAAACCAAATAATAGAAAATTTCACTAACCTTCCAATATTTTCTATGTTTAACCAAACAAGTGAAAATAACAATTTCTACGGAATTTCTTTACATCTTTGTAGATTTTTCCATAATAAGGTGAACTCTAAACAATAGTATACAGTTTAAGTAACCAAATACTAGTCAGTAAAATGTATAAGGTGAACTCCAATCTACTCAGATTATGAACTCTAAAGAAGAGACAGCTTATTGCACTTGTTGCAAGCTCAGAATTCATGAAGCATCATAGATCAAATTTGGCAAAATTGTAAAGCAAGTCAGAGTGTTCAGTTGAAATGATCAAATTTTTAAGGACCAGATGATCTGAGGCTGATTTTTATTTAATGTACAGACAACTTTTAGGGTTTAGTAATTACTGCCAACGCTCCATGTAATCATCAAACCCAGAAGACCCAACTCGAAATACAGAAGATAAGATCCCAATAAGAGGAACAGTGTTACTTGTCAAAAAGTAACTAAAGGTGATACTTAATTGGAGGACCTAGAAATGTGATGAAACTCACTCCATGATTCAATTTCCAAACAAGTGACGGATAATGATGAAAAGGCAGATGGCAATAGAAGAAAGTGAAGTGTTTCCGAGAATGGCTTAATTTCATAAATATTGTGACGAAGAGGTACTGAGGTAGAAAATAGTGATGTAGTAAATTTGAAGTAGTCAACCCATGCTAAAATTCAAGATAAAAGGACCCTTTGGAGTTCAGACACATTCTTCACCCCCTGATCAAAGGTGAAACGATATCAAAGAAAGAAGCTAATAAACAATATATGAAGTAAGCTGGTGGATTTTAAGGGACAATGCTTTAATTGGTTTAATAATTTAGGGGGTCCATTTATCACAACCAATTGTGATAGGCTGATAGCTTCCAAGTGATGATAGAAATAATTTGACAGTGTAAACATGCATGAAATAAGAGTTCCTTGGCTACCTTCCTTAGCTTAATGAGAAGATATGAGATAAGCTAATGGAGAAGAGGACAAAAGAACAGGCACAAAACGTTGTTAAATTTCATTAGATAACATGATTCTGCCTTCCACAAGAATATAGTAAACTCTTCAAGGGGCTTCTTATTCACAAAATCCACGTAACGAAATGGACAAATTTTAATTTCATGCATGGTGCCTCAAATGTAGAGTAAGAAGTGATCCAAGTAATGATGGATAATGCATCAGTTTGTGTTAGGGAGGGTAAGAAATTATTAAGAAACATATAAACAATTTCCCTTTCCTATCTAATACAATTATACAAAGTATACTTTTGCAATTAAATAATTATTTGGAAACTTTTTATAAATATTTAGAAAAATAATGGAAATTAAAAGCCAACCATGGCCAATGAAGCCTAAGGTAACTATTGCTATAACTTTGGAAATTGGGAGGAAAGAAATTAAGAAAAAATTTAAGACATTGATTCAAGATGAGACAGCCAAATTTATCAACTTTTGCTAGTGCCTGGATTTCTAAATCGAAAATCTAATTTGAAATTCCAAATATATGTGAAGAATCTGATTATATTTGTATTGATTCTTAGTTTCATACTGGTTTATTTGATAAGGTAACTCATATACTAATACTTCTATGTTCTAACAGCTTCATACCAAGTAGAATAACAATTGATACTAACCCATCTAATTGAGTAGGCTTTTCTCAAAACACAAATATACAATCATATCACAATATCACCACTCTTACATTTTTTTTATTTTTTTATTTATGGTTTTTTTATCCCTAATGTTCTACAATTACTTCGATTTTACAGAATAATTAGAGCCCCCTCAACGCCTTCATTACCTCAGCCAAACAACCTACCCACCCACCTATGGACCACACCTCACCCTTAGCTGCTGCCTCCATCAATCCACCATTTGAAGAAGGCAACTCCCTCTGATTCTCTCCCCCAATAACAAGCACCAAATGACAGTTATCACTTGATTACCTGATTCCTCATTCAAGGAAGATAGAGAACAACAATGGACATAAACCTCAACATCATGGTTTTTAATTGGGAAGGAAGGGAAAATTTATTGCCAAACTGAATAGGAAAGAGAATGGACAAAATTGCTCCCCTAATTTCATTGTCCAGAAGAAAAAAAGGAACAAAAGATTGAATTGGAAAGTCCCAACCTTTTCATTATTAAGAGACAACAACTTATAAAAGGTAAGATAGGAAAATCCCAAAAGCCATCTCCTTGGCCCTTTACTCCTGCAACTGATCTATTCTATATCCCAAAAACCATATTCGTAATTAAAAAAAATAAATAAAATATATATATATATATATATATATATATATATATATATATATATATATATATATATAAAATAAAAAAAAACCCTGAATTACGGCAGTTTATTGATGACAATAGTTGAAGGAGGAATTGACTTCCCTTTGTGCATTCAAATCAATTGAAGCCAAAGACCAAATTTTACCATAGGAGATAAAAAAATTAAGGTAAAAATCACAACTACCAGTGAGTGCAAGAGGTAGAGACATCTGTATAGGGAGATAAAAGAGTTCTAAGTAAAACAAATAAAAATAAAAAATTAAGGATAAACATGTCTGCAGTACGAGGTGGGGTGTTGATTGAAGAGGGAGAAAGGATGAAGAAACAGATATAAACTTGAGTCCAAAACTCACTAATCTGCTAATCCAAGACTGTTTAGCATCGATAACTTGCAGAAACTGTCGTAAGGGAGCTATCAAATATTCAAATGCAGAGAAAATAATCTACTCTAAAAAGAAGTTATACTGACAGTAAAACATTGCCAAAATAAGATATACTGGCATACAGAGGTATAAGAGCAACTGAGCAGCTAATTCATAAACATATTTTAATCAGCAAACAACAATTCAAATTTTTAGGAGAGGTGACATTGACAAGAATAAATTGTCTTGTAATGAACAAAAACAAAACTTACCCGTCAACAAGTTCCACAAGCTTTGGGTATAACTGCTCATCTCGCAGCCGGCTTATTTCTGAGACCGTTGAATCCATAGACTGCATATCCACAATGTACCTTGTGTGTAGATGGCTTACAGCAGCCTTTGTCTTCTCTAACGATTCAGGGTTAGCACCACGTTTCTTTTGTTTGTTCAATAGTGCAACTTTCCTCTGATAGTCAAACTTCATGAATTCACCCGCCTGTCCAATATATTGAAGCAAAATAAACATTATAATGATGCAAACGAAACTATAGCTCATAACACAAACAACTACTATCCACAATTGGCAAGTGCAGCAACTACAAACTATTTTAAAATGACGATAGGATGTGAAGGCAAAGCCTTTGAAAATTTTGAGGAACGAAACTTTTAAAGGAAAAGAGGATTACCTTCACTTCATCATATAACTTTTTCTCCCAAGCAAGCAGCTTATCCAGCACAGTGGCGTGAGTTTCATTCTCTTCAGAATCAAAATCATCCTTAAATTCCTCTGCATTGGGGAGACCTCTAAAAGATCTATTCCATGTGATAACTCGCATGACTCTTGCTGAGTGATCAATATGCCCTATAAAAGCAAATGTAATTTCAAGTTAGAGGTTACGTTGTAGGGTCCTTATATACCACAAGATATCATATTGCAAATTTTTTTACCACAATAGTAAGATACGATCACAGAATTAGAGCAAATAAAACCACCAAGAACACAAAAACTTGAAGCATGTACAGCCTTGCACTAAAGCAACACGACTCTTGGTTATTATCAAACTCCCTCCCACACATAGTCACACAAGAGCAATTTATATACTCCATAGCATTTACAGCTTTATCATCCTCATCCAAGAACATTCCACCCTAGAAAAATTGACTACTTGGTCCAAACAATCTCAGGCTCACTTTTCACATTTCATACAATCTACTCCATAATCCATCCCCCATCCTATCAAATCTACTTCATCCCTTGCCTATCATCATAATCATTTAACAAGCACCCTCAAAACATAACGGTACATTCTACTCCGATTGAATTTAGTTTTCACTTTACTGATCCAAAATTACACTATCAACGTGACTATCAGCTCAAGACAGAACTTCAAACGCTTTGATATCATATAACTCATTAGGAAAACAATGTAATTAAACAATGCAAACAAAAGACATAAAGAATTAAAGATCATATTCAATTGAAAGACAAGAAAAGATGAATATACCCCTATTATCAGCAAAATTAGAATGGTAATGCAACCGGGTAGCCTCAAGCATCTTGGAAACTAAATGAGCACTCTCAGAAGCTTTAAGAAAACAATCATCCAAATCACTAAAAATCTGAACTAAATTCACATTCTTCCTTCTCCCTTCCCCACCCCCACCACTCCCACCTTGCCCCACCACCTGCTTCCCCTTCTTCATCATCCTCCCTCCCCCTCCTCCTCCTCCCATCATCGGCAACGGCGGCTTCTCCGCTACCGGCATCACCATCTCCTCAACCATCTCAATCGAAGGCGGAACCGTAGTAGTAACCGTCGCAGGAGCACCTGAACTCCTCATTGCCCTTTGATGATACACAGTACGGTCATACTCCCCTCTCATATCATCATCATCCCTCAAGCTCCCACCCGGCATATCCTCCGTATTAAAGAAGTAATCCCAAGTTTGGTTATTCACCTCGGGCGGCGGCGGCGGCGGTGTTCTACTCCCTCTATCATCATGAGGCGGCAACGAAGGCGGCGGGCCCACCACATTATTAGTAGTGCCAACATTAGAGCTACTCGGAGTAGTCTCCATTCTACCACCAACACTCCCACCTTTATTATCTCTCCTATGTCTCAATCGCCCAATATCTTCCTCCTCTTCTTCATCGGCGTCTACCTCTTCACCTTCATCAATGGTATCTCCCGGGACCGGCTTCGGCCCCGGCGTAACCACAAACTCCGGCATCGACGTCGCGCGCTGAAGCGGCGGCGGCATGTCGGGGATAGGAGGCGGAGGAGGAGGCAAGTCACGCACCGCCGGCGGCAGCGGTGGCGCCTGAGATGGGAGTTCTCCGATTGTGGGGCCAACCCCACCTGGGGTGGGACCCACCGGAGCAGAGGAGAGAGAAAGGGGGTTAACCACTTCACCTTGAGCGAAGTCGCTGAGAGCGGCGCCGGCGTTTTTGAGGGACATGGCGTAGGAGATGTGCGCGGCGGCGAAGGCGTTGCGCGCGGAAACAGCTGATTTCATGAACGCTTTCCTGTCTTTGCATCGTGACACTGCTTCTTCGTTCTCGATCTTCGATTGAGAGCACCCCATTATCTGGGTTGCTCTTAATTTGCAGAGAATTTATCTGGGTTGGTTGAATTTGGGTCAATTTTGAGGGTAATTTCTGGGAAATTGATGAAGAAGAGTGGAAAATGGGGGGTTTTAGAGAATGAAAAGAATCATAAAAAGGAAGAAAATTGGTATGAAAATTAAGGAAAGTGAATGAAAAAGCAGAGGAGGAGAGAGAATTTGGGAAGCAAAGATTCTTGAAGAACAGGAAAGAGCTGGAGAGAGGGAGAAAGAGGAGGAGAGAGAAAGTGCAGAAGAGTGTCTCAGGTTGAACAAAGTGTGAGAGTGACGTTTGTTTCCGTTCTGAAACCATTTTTTGTATTTTCTTTTTAATTTATGTGTCTTGTTTTTTAGGGATTGAATAATGAATACAGTAGATTATGGTAATATTGAGCAATTATTTTATTAATGTCTAGTTTTATTCCGTATAAAACAAAAGCTTTCCAAATCATGTCTATCCAGCTTTTCTTGTACTCTTGTAATCATGAATACTAGATCTAACACAAAATTTTAAAAAATTTGTAATATATAATATAACTAGCAAAACTTGACACAAAACAAATTAAACACAAAAAATCGGATTACTGTCAAAAATTTCTGACAAGTTTAACTAAACGGGTCGATACAACATGATACATTTAATTAAATAGGTTGAATTAGTGTTGAGAATTTCAACACGAACCTAACACGATTAAATCCACTTAAGAAAAATAACCAATAAACTTTGGGAATTATGATAACTATTAAGTATGAGGTTAACATATTTATTTATGACAAAACAACACGACACGAACCAGACACAAAAATAGCGGATTAGTGTCAAGGATTTTTAACACGATTTATTAAAGGATCAAATGGTCAATACAACACAACACGTTTATTAAATAGGGTCAAGCGTTAAAGTCCTCCACCCGTTTAACTTTGAACACGATAAAGTCGATAATGATTTGACACAACACGTTTGACAACTCTAGGGTATAGAATCATAGGATGAATTTTATAATACGGGTATAAAGTATTATTAATAGGGATATATTTAAGGTATGAGTGCATGACAATTGTATAGTTGTATCCGATCCTACATGGATGGTACTTTGGTAATTTAGTTTCAAACAGTAAAACGACGAATTTACCCTCAAACGCTACAGCTTGTGTATAGTGTTAAGAGATTGGAGCTTTTTCTCGAGCACTTCTCTTTTGCTTTCCTCCATTGAAGCAGCTACTCTAAATTCTCCGTTCAAGAGGCTACTCTGTGAGCTTTCTCTCTCTCCTCCATTGAAGCAGCTTCTCAGGTAAGATATTTTTCGTAATCTACTTTTAATCGTTCAATTAGCTCAATTTAGGGTTCTTGTAAGGTGGAATCAATTTAGGGTTCGGATTGATTATTGAACTATGTATTGGTTATAATTTAATTACTCCTTGAAGACTTTAATTTGGTGACTGATTCAAATTTGGTTGCTAATTTGATGCAAAACCCTTGAATTTTCGAACCAAACTATGAAAAATTGAAATCCCTTACATAGTTACATTATACGAGTATTAACAAAGTTAGGTCATGAAATTTGCAGTTGAGATGCCGAAAGTGAAGACGAATCGTGTGAAATACCCAGAAGGTTGGGAATTAATTGAACCAACACTTCAGGAGCTAGAATCTAAGATGAGAGAAGGTAGTTTTGCCTAATTTGATTTTAATTTGTTCTTGTAAAATTCTCGAATTTGCCAATTTATTTTCGCAATCCCAAAACGTCGATTAACGATGTTTGATTGATTGATTATGGTTGAATTGGCAGCTCAAATGGATTCTCATGATGGAAAGAGAAAGTGTGAAACATTGTGGCCAATTTTCAAAATTGCTCACCAGAAGAGTCGTTACATTTATGATCTTTATTATAGAAGAAGTGAGATTTCCAAAGAGCTCTATGAGTTTTGTTTGGACCAAGGCTATGCTGATAGAAACCTTATTGCTAAGTGGAAGAAGGTATGACTTTCATCTCAACCCGTTTCCTCGTTGCTTTATGGACTAGTAAATTTCTTGGATGTTATCAAGGTCTACATTTGTGTATCCTTGCCCGAAACTTGTTGAATTTTCTGTCACCATTCCATTTTACTAGTAAGTTTCTTGGATGTTGTTAAACCAATGTTATTAAGGTCTACATGTATGTATCCTCGCTTGAAACTCGTAGAATTTGCTGAAAATTAACACTTCATTATTACCAAAGTGTTACTCCTTTGTCCTGTGCATATGTTCACATTGTTGTTAATTGTGATTGAATTCTCGTACATGACATATTTTTGACCTTTATATAGGTGGACTATGTTCATACTCTCCCCAACTCCCATTACTCGATTTTTTTTTTGAGGATATTACTCGATTTAATACAGGGTATATCAGCAAAATCTATTGGAAGACATTATAATTTTGGAAATTTTTAGAAGTGTGACAGTTTCTTCTGGACATTTTAATACAGTACAATGTATTTGTTGCTTATATTTTCAGACAGATGAAGTTCAATTTCTGAGTTGGCTTAGCATTATTGAGCTCAAGCTAAAATAATGTTAGGAACTGTGTGAACTGTGAATGTAGTCTTTGCTTGATCATACTGATATCCATTGAATCTATACTATCTAGTTCTCGTATTGATTTAAGTGATGCTGATAGTGTGATGTTCATATTAGGGGAAGACACTGTTTCAATATTGCTGATATATGTTTTTGTTTTGCCTCTGATTTGCAGCCAGGATATGAGCGTCTGTGTTGCCTGCGTTGCATACAACCACGAGACCATAACTTTGGCACAACTTGTGTTTGTCGAGTGCCCAAGCATCTGAGGGAGGAGAAAGTGGTAGAATGCGTTCACTGTGGATGTAGGGGTTGTGCTAGTGGGGATTAAGCTGCAATCCTAGGCTCTGGGATGTTTAGCACTATGTTGTAACTGTTTGCACAACCAATGACTAATTTTGCTATCTTGATATAGCATCATGCTTTGATTATTTAGGTTATGTCTAGTACATCTAAGACAAATTTATCTGTGAAAGTGATTTGTAAGGTATGTCATGACCTACCAAAAACTCATCAAAACAAATGGGAATATGAGATAGTGATTTGCACACAGGATTTGGTAATGCAGATGTCCATGATTACACTTTTGTGCTATAATAACGAATAGTTGCATAATGTTTTGACAGCAGCAAACATTTGAAGAGACAGGAGAAAAGAAAAAAAAAAAGGGATGTTAAGGTGAGATAATGTCTCATTTAAATTTCTCTTATCAAATATAACGGTTTCGTTTCAATTATATCATATGAGCCTGGATCAAACTAATAATGAATCTAACCAAATAAATTGAAAACAACTGGGGGCTATAATTGAGTGAGCCGAGACTAAGCTCTTGGGTTGCTTGCTTATTACACTTGCATTCAAATTTGAGCTGAATCTCGAGCTTTTTTGAGCTTAGATGCAAGTTCAATATTCCATATAACTCAAATTTTGAGTTAAAAATTTTCAACTGATTTATTTAAGCTAGTTTGCTCTAATTTTGTTTTTTTTTTACTAGTTTCTCATTGATAATTGTTTGCATTTTCACAACTCCTTGTTAATGCATTTTAGATGTTATAATATGCGGAGTAAAAAATACAATAGTTAAGAAAAAACACATTTACACACATTTAACCTATTCATGAGATTGACAAGTAAAAATATGTTGAGCTAAGCCCGTGAATGATTTGAAATGAGCTCAAATATTTCACGAATTAGTTCAGCTAATTAAAACCTCAAAATACAACCACCTCCCCTCTATCGTGCAACAACTGGATTTCAAAATTTTGACAAATTACAAATTGTTTCTATTGCATCATTATCAAATCTAAAGAAGGAAAAATAACATGTGCAAGTGGTACCCCAAATAATTAAATTGAGATCCAACACTACAAAAACTCAATGTTGTGTTGTTGTCAGAGAAGATCTGATCATCACATAAGCAAAAGACTTCTTTTTTGTTCTCCCATTTTAAAGCTTTCATCTTACCTTTTTTCTTTTTTGTTTTGTACTTTTAAAAGTTGATTTAAAGTGAGGGTTTCAACTTTCAAGCCTTGCCTAGAAGGCTCTTGTCACTCCCAGAATCCACTAATTGTGAGAAACACAACTAAGTTAACTTCAAGATCTCATTTATCAGATTAATTAAAACAACCTTAAATTGCTTTTGGTTGTAAAGATTCATTCTTTTGTCGAATCGAGAGCAATGGAAGAAAAATGAAGAATATTTGCTACTAGAATAAGCTCGAATCGATACCCTGTAAGAAAACTTGTACAAGTCATACGTATCATATAATTTATTACAGAAAAGAATGCAATATTGCATACTACTAGTAATACAGAAGGTAACAGAACTACAGAAGTCTGCCTTTTGTCAGACCTGATAATAAATTTTAATCTATTTCAGTTATTTATTGTACCCTGCAAGAAATTGTAAGAACAACACTCATAAATTGAAACAGCCTCAAATCAATTTCATTAGGCCTTGAAAACGGATTACTGTTACAAATGTGGCAACTTAAACACAGAAACACTTGGATGCTGAATCATGCTTATATAAAGGCTGATCTCACTTGCTTGGAATGTAGGTGCTGTAATGGATGAATTGTACGCATAAGGGTAATGTGAGGATCGGAAATAGCTCCAACCGAAATCTAAGGACTGCAGTCCTAATGCTTAAAACAATACAAAAATCAAATGGTTCTAGGAAGCAACAAATCATATGATGGAAGGAAAAATGCCGCCTAGATTTATTTTTTCTTTAGAGATATCAGGTTGTTATTGATTTTAGATATCGGCGTGTCAGCATGAATAATGTAAAAATGGCTTTTGGATGTGAGCAATGTTGTTGATTATAAAGAGTATGTATTCAAAGAAAATTATGTGCAAGATAAACGAAGAAAGTTTGCTATTGGATTAAACTCGAATTGTAACCTATAAGGCTAATTCTAAGGTTTTAATCAGTTCATAAATTAACATAATCTCATTTGCAGAAGAAAAAAAAAACACAAAGTTTTTTACGTTCTTTCTTATAAGATACTACTAATAAAGCCTGCAGTTTTATCAGACCTGATAAGAAGAAATCTTAAGACAGTTGCACTTTGCATTTTTGTGCAGATTTATGAAGCTAAATGAACATCTCTTTTAGTTCCAAAAGGCTTCCAAACTATTAAGCACTAGAAACAATTTAGAAAGTATTATAAACAAAAAGGCTAAGTTAAAAACTGTACTTCCCTTATGATCATATTAAGGCAAACATACAGTACCATTTAATTCTGGAATGAGCCCATCAAAGTTTCGCGATAATACATGATATATGCTCTAGATTGCAGTAGTTATCTTAGAAAATAAACTTGTGTTAGATCGTCAGAACTTACGATTACATTAGACGCTAGATTTAATCCCCCTCAACACAGTCAAGGGAACTACTTCTTTAACAACCCGGAAAATGTGAACATCAAAGACAGAATTATTCTCATTACCCAAATCTCCTTTCTGAAGCAGCTCAAATACACAAACGTCATGCTCCTCGAGATTGTTCTCTAAAACAAAAGTCGACCACCCTGGTCTGAACTGGCATTGCGAAGGTGTCCATCTGCATCCCACCGTCCAGCTCTCCTCTACTCCTGGAACCCGGAGTATGACATCATGATCAGACTTCTGAAGCAAGTGTTTTACAGCCCATTCTTTAGGGATGGTCTGCAGCCATAGTAAACCAAACTAGCTTAGATTTGATTATTAAAAGATGTTCTACTTTTACATTGAGACTAGTAAAATGGTTATGATAATTATGTCACTCTTATTAGATTAGGTTCTTAAGATGAACAAGTAAATTACTATGAAAAAATAAGGTGTATAAGGATGCCATACCAGATGAAAGCCACGATAAACATGTGTACGCTTCATCACAATTTCAATCATATGACGTCTCCTACTCATATGACTAATGGCCTTGCTAAGTGCACCTTGCTTCTCTTGCTCTGTAACCTTCCGCCTCTTTGATTTGTAATACTTTTGAGGTTGTCTTACTACAAATAAATTAACTTGCAGTTGCATAACTTAGAGATATAGTTATCAAACAAATGAACTAATCACAATAGCATTGATTGCAATTATACACAAATTCTTGTTTGAAAATGTGTGATAGAATTTATACCTTGGCATGCTCTATTTCTCACATTCAGACTAAGATTATGAAAGCGCTTCACATGATGAGATGAATCAGATAATGATTCCAGATCTTCTTCTTCATGTACTATCCCAGTCCCGTTATCTGCAGCTTTACATTTTGCACTCTTACTGCCTCTGAAATTGTTTTCTTGAGATGAAGAATCTGAATCATGTTCCTTATCCACTGCAAATGCTTCTACAGAGCCATCAATATCAGCTTCTAATGTTCTGTCACCTTTAGATTCATCGTTCTCCACGTGTAAGAGACTTCTACAGGAAGTGTTCAAGGACATGTTTGTATTCCTTGTAAAGTGTGAACCTTCTACCTCGCATCCAGTAGCATCAAAAACCGATACCTCAAAAGAGGAGTCTCCAACATAGCAAAAGACCAAGAAACAACCATACTTAATACCATGATCAGTCACAAAGTTACCCCAACCATCTACAAACAGGACATCTTTCTCAGTTTTTTGTATTTGAACTTTCCATATATTCCCACTTTGACCTCTTAGAGTGCAAGAGCTTGAAAGGTCTGCCCTGGAGCATTCAACAAATTTCCTAGGAATTCGCTGCAGAATTTTTTATCATAAATCAACTGTGTTAGAACTAATACATGACTACAGTATTAATCATAGGAATTCTTTTAGGCCCATCAGGTGTGTTAACTTACCAGCTGTTGCTCAAAATTACCAATCATCAACTTGAAAAACCGGTGCTTCCTAGGTGGAATCTCATTCCAATATTTGTCCTCCTCTAAAGCCTTACAAGTTTCACAAACATATGTCATTTTGCTTTTAACTTAAAATGCCCTGCAAATAATCAACCACCTGAGACACCCAACAAAAGAAAATAAAATAAAATAAAAAGGCATTCAGATAAAAAAAAATACTTCTTGAAATCATAGGATGACACAGTGGATTCCTCTAATGTGTTTGTACGACAACATTGATCTAAATTTTAATGACAAAAGGAGAGATCATGACTCAACTCCGTCTATTCAATCTAATAAAAAGAGAGTCTAACAAACCATAGAGATTCTCAATCCAGCAACAAATAATGATAAAAGGACAACAGTACCTTAAGGCGCTTGGTAACTGAGAAAAGTTGAAAGAAAGCACAATAGTTGGCTCATGCTCAACTTCTTCTAGCTATGGTTCTACAGAAGTTACGTTGCAGCATACAAATATTTTGATGAGCATAATGGAGAAGATAGAAAAATGACTAGGATGATTAATGGGCATAGGTAAAGTTTTTTCCAGTTTTGTAAAGCTCAACTGCTCAAGTCAATGAGATAGCAGAAAAGGAAAGAATCACAGAAGTGTAGAGGAGGGAATTTTGGGGAAGTTTAACAATGATATATGGAGGGTCTATTTATTTAAAACCTGACAATGACATTAAACTAATTTTCACTGTGATGGTTTATTTCTTCTTATATTTTTTATGAAAAAAAAAATAGGGGCTTCTTAGACTTAGTTTTCATAAAAAAAATTTAAACTAATTTGCCAATTTCCTATGTTAGGCATCTACCATTGTATGTGAATGTATATGAAACAATTTTTTTTCGCTTTTTTTCAGCTTATAATAATACATACAGGAACAATGTCAAAACCCTGTAAGAAAACTTGCAAGTAACAAGTGATATGAATCATATAACTTAACTTAGAAATATTCACAGGAACTCTGTTGAGCCTTTTCAAGCATGTTAATAGACAACTTATTACCAACCTAAGCATTATTTTGAAAATGAAGAGCTGATGCATTAAGGGTGGGATGTCATGCCAAATTATGTAACTCTCACAAATACAAAGTATAGGATACAAATACTTTCAAAGTACAAATCACATGCGAATCACAAAAACAAAGGAGGATTGTTTTTAATAAGGAAAATTAGCCTCATTCCTCAGTCAGAGGTGATCTTTCCTCGTTTCAATTATAAGAAATATACAAATAGTTGTATGTTCTCCTTTGGTGATCTCATTTTCTGATGTACAACTAGTTTAAATCACAAAAAAAGTGATCTAAAGAATGAAAAATGGAAAGATCATAACTTAACAAAGTACATTCATTTAAATTAAACAAACGTCTAGACAAAGCCAAGGGGATTTTCAAGTGCAATTAAATCAAACAAACGTCTAGACAAGCCAAAGGGATTTTCAAGTGCAGTTCAGAAAAAAATTTCTGCATAATAAGTAGTCTTGCACTCATACAGAAAGAAGTAACAAGATAACATAAGGATTTACAGTTTTACACGCATAAGAGAACCTAAACGAAGCAATAAACACAATTTAGTCCAAGCAGAAACTTGAAGTCATATTACTCTCTATTATTATACAGCTAGATCATAAAAAATCTAAAAGAGATTAACAAAAACGAAAGACAAAAAAAATTCTAGCAGCAAAACTGTCAACTTACAGGAGTTGTAGGCTTAACCGGCACAAAACTGAAAGGCTTCACTAATCTCTTAGAGCATCGAACATACCACAAAAAGTTTTTTAGCTCAGGTTCTTTTGGAGCTGCATAGAATTCTGAATCAAGAGAATAATGGTGGAGAGCAAAAAAGCAATGTAAAGGATGATTACTGAAGGAGATGGGCATAGTTGTGTTTTGCTGATTAAGGGATAATGAGAGCTAAAAAAAACTGACAGAGTGAGTTGTCATGGAGGGATTTTTGGCAATGTTTAAAATGACATTACTTATGAACCATTTGGTTGGATTAAACTTGATTACAACATATACTACTTATTAAGGTAATGGATAAATGGTAGATTTATCCCTTTTTTTCCTTGATGACTTCAAGAGGTAAATATTAGAAATTTAATCCCTTTTTAAGGTAATGGATTAATGGATTGATATCGATTTCTAGGAATACATTGATGATTATATGTAGCTCGCAGGTTTACGTATAACAAAAACCTTAATACGATTATCCATAGTAATATATTAAGGCCTTCTAAATATGCTTGTTTTGTTTTCAATTTTTCTGACATTTGCAGTTGTATATGAAAAGTATTGGAACCAAACACTTCTATATTTTCTAGCATTAATACAAAGCAATTAATATTGTAATAAATTAAGTATACTCCACTATATAAAGGTTGAATCATATAGCCAAAAATGTACTCATTATGAAGCCACACATACATCTTATTTCACTATTTTTGGACCAAAGAAACAGACGTATATACTCCAAATAGTAATTCCATAAAGACCATTGCCAACACATGACTAGGAAAATGAAAAGCCTATAGGAAAGTAACTGAAGAATAAACCAGTAAAATATTCAACACCCATACAGTCATTATGTATCTCTCTTTCGTGTCCAGGCTGCATCTTTCAGTAGGATAACCAAGCAGACTTCAGTTCTTTAACATTTATGTTCAACATAAATTATCTCCCAGAGCTCGACATCTTTTCCTCTCTCATACTCTTGTACATATTGAGGAATTTCTGAAAGATCGATACGCTTGCCAGTAAAACCTGGAAAAGATACATTTGTGAGAGGCTTTCATGTTATCCAATTACAAAACTAATGTTTGTCAAACCATACAGGAATTAAGAACAAGATGATAACACAATTGAAACGTGATTTATAACTAACCCTTTTCGTTCCTCAAAAAGCTAAGGAAATTTGAGTACCCATTGGCAACAACATCAAGATCATACAAGCTGAAATTGTAGCGCTTCTCCAATGCAAGATACAAAACCTGAAGAGCAAAAAATCTACTTCATTATTGCAAGAGATATTGAAAGGTAAGGAGGCACGTCATAAAACTCTCTTTCAATGAGGCTAGGCAAGTTGTTTAAAACAATATTGAAGAAAATTATGGAAGGTTTTTGATTTCCTGCTAAGCATTACTATAGTTTAATACTGCCAAAACAACAATAAGAATAACAACAACCCACGACATAGTTTGGATCCGATCATAGGTTGAGCAAAATTGAAGTGCCAGAACAACATGCTGTTTACTAAGCAGGCTGATACAAAGCCCGCCAACATAGTAATAAATCCCAGCCTCAGATTCAATTGCAAGAGATATTGAAAGGTAAGGAGGCACATAAATTGTTTAAGAAGCAGAATTTCTGCAATGTAATGAAAAATTTGTTGCACAACCCAAGGGCCAAACAGTTGAGTCCCAAATCAGAGGTCTAGGAGGTAATATCTTAAGGAAGTTTGTTGTCCGATCCTGTGTAGTTCCATTTCCTTGAAAGTGCAATATATTATTTGACTGCCAATGGAAGTTCCATTACCTAGGGGAACAGGGGTTTCCTATGAAGTGATTAAATATGTTTTTGCCAACCAAACAACTTCACACTTTTCCACTTACTATGTTTCATTCATGTCAACTAAAAAAGTACTAAGAGTTGAAGAATACTCCAAAGTCCAAAGGTTAGGTGTGTTATCTCACAACCAAGGTTAAAGGTCTTTACACCTCCTTTTAGACTTAAAAAAAAAGGTGGTCTACTAATAATCCTCCTCAATTCAAAATAAAATAAAATAAAATAATAATTAAAAAGTTTTTGGAATTTAGCATACAGCATAGCAATTTATTTTCAATACCTTTTTAGAATGTTGGCACATGATCTTCTGCAGAACACTGAAAAAGGCATCAGTTAACTCATCACTATATATCACATCTGCAGCTAACAGCACAGATGCTCTATTAACTTCTTCAACCTCAGAAGATGTCCAGGAATACCTGAATGGAATATTCTACCACTGTAAATAAGCATGCCCTTCCCACTGAAAAATACTCCTATGTTAACACAAACATGAAGGATTCTGATGACCCTCTCTAATGTAAATGGAAATTAAATCTATAATGAAAAGTCCAGTCACTCCAGAGAGGGATTAACAATATGGTTTCTCTACCTTACTCCAGAATCCAAATCCAAAGGTGGCCATGGTTTCTGCCAATCAAGCTCTCGTACTTTGACTGGAGATTCACCTCCAAACAATCCAGAGTTGATGTGAGCATTCCTTGCACAGTTGTCGAGAATTTCAATGCCATGGTCTAGGAATGGTTATTATACAGTGCATCATTAGTAGCAAATATAGTGCACAAGATTTTGCATAACAATTAATAAATTGCATAATCTCGATCCAGACTTTCAGGACATGAAATGCAGCTTGAGTAGCAATTTAATTAAAATTACCTGTTATGAATACAGCCTTCACAACATGTGCAATTAATATACCAACCAATCCTGACAAAGACAGAATCAGGATCCTGTGAAACAATGAATAAGGGTTCTTTAGGTTACCAGCATTAGCTTCACATAACACATTTAAATACCAGATTCATAAAATTTTTAAGCATGTTAGAATGTGCAGAGTAATATTTTGCCCAAGGTCTCCAACTTCATTAAAAGTCTACTAAAAAGAAATGCCCTTTATTTTTTTATACATATAAGGTTTTGGTGATAAACTTCATTGGTAAACTTTAATTATACTATTTCCTCAGTTTTATGACGTTCCTCCTTTTCCTTATAAGATGTTTCAATATGGATGTCCCACTTTCGGAACTTTCACTCTGTTTTAATGCATTACTTTTGATAAGTCTAATTCATTTCTCAATTCAAATAAGACAAACATTATGGAAAAGATGGAGTATTCAAGATCCTTCTTACAACTAACAGCTTGACTTGCACATCCAATTCTTACGTCATCATGATGAACACGTCATAGAAGAGAACATTACCTGTGCCAGCACCAAGTTCAACAGCAACAACACCATTGAATACAGACGAAGAAGACATCTTGTGCAATACATAATCTGCTAATATCAATTCGGCCCTCCAAACCTGAAAAGGAAAATTTATAGAAAAAGCTAACAGTCTAGAAAGCACTTATAATTTCATTAGATTCTACATTTTCAGAATAATAACAACTGTAAAATGGTTGAAACCCAGAAAGAGTAAAGTCGATAAATGGTGTATGCAAAGCTATAAATTCTTTCACTGGTAGAGTCATATAGAACTCTCATGAGCTGTGTAAGTGAACTACTAAATCGTGTTCCAAATTTGACTACATCATTGCCGTGAACTACATGCAAGTATGCAACTGCTGGAGCACAATGATACAAATAGTAACACACATACACTACTGACAAATTGTGTACTGCTTTCAGCTAAATATTTATAGCTGCATATGGCTTGAATGCTTGAACACATAAAAAAAAATTTGATTTCATCTTATCCTTAGTTATCTTTCTTATGTTTTAGTTTGAGTGAATTGGACAATCACCTGCAGACCCACACTTGGAATGGTTGATGTAATATTGTGCTGAATGCTGACAACACCAGTATGGTAAGATTGTTCTGCACAAAAACAGATTTCTTCAGACAAGCAGAAATCACAGGTATGGTAAGATTGGTAACTTGCAGTGTATCTAGATGAGCGAATTCGGAAGGAAAGGAGTCAAGGATACAATCTCCCATAATCTGATGCAAATATAAATTAGGGAATGGGAAGGGCAATAAAGGGATCCATTTTTCTTCTCCTCTTCAAAATCCAGATCTTTCCATTGCTAGAAAGACATGGAAAGAAAGATTTAGCATACTTCTTCCATTCCCTCATCTTCTTTTCCCTCTCCTTCCCTCCAATTTTTTCTAAGCATGTTATTTAAAGAAAAATACAGCAGTTAAAACCACTCGCAAGGTTCTAATAATAAAAGCAGAAAACAACTGAACCATCACTATTTACCTTCTGACCATTGACCTAAAGCCAAATCATTCCATGATATGTTAGAACAAGGCACATATCAAGATGGCATTTCAGGCATAATAGCAACAGATACTTTACTTGACAATGTGAGACAAAGTATAACAGAGTCAGTTTTAAGAAATTAGTTGACAATGTAACACGACAAAATAATGAAATGGACTTTTCGAAAACTTAAGTTTTAAAGACTGGTTTGGTTAAATATAGATCATTAAGCACCGGGGTAAGCTCAAAAATCTGGTCCCTACCTTATAAAAAGGTCAGCAGTAGTAAAAGTGGATAAAGGAGGGAAATCACAGATAAAGGAGGATGATAAATGTGGACCATGCTTTGACTTACTGGTTCGTGTTCGTCGAGCTACAATGAGATCACCATCTTCATCTAAATCAATAGTTTGCTCTGGAGAACTAGATTCATCTTTGACATGGTCACCGTGTCTACTGCCGGTGAGATCATCTCCTATAACACTCAAAAACAAGAGAAACTTAATGGGTGAAATTCTTCCAGTTCACAGTTAAGACAAAAGAGCACAAACAAGCGACCATTGAGGCTCCACCAAAATGCAGGCTGAAGAGGGTTCAATGTGAAAATCAACTATAAAATTGAAGGTGCAGAAAAGAGTTACTTCTATCCACACAGTATCTAGAAAAGCAACAGCTAATTTATTTTTGTTTAATATGTAACTTCTATGAGCTTTGTCCATTTCCAGCAAAGTATGGTCATAGGCTCAAAACATAGTTGCTAATATATTTATTAGCTACAATTGCAACTTCAACGTAATACGGTGGTTGCAACATAAAAAAGGACTTTTTCTATATTACTGAACTGGATAACCTATTAAAATATCTAATGTCCTCTATCTCGTCAAGTTTTCTCTACAGGTTACTAGTGCTATTACGTATACAGCGAAAGCTGAGAAGCATGTGGCTTTTTTTTCAGAAATTTTACACACAAAATTTCAGCCGAAATTGCAACCCCAATTTTTGGTCTTTTTTTTTATTATTATTATTTTATTTTTTTTACATTTTCACCTTCAACCATTCCCTAGCTTCCCATTTGCTGTAGTCTCTCCAAAGCTTTGGATTTTAAAATAGCAGCTTCTCAATAAGTCTTATTTCAACCCTAGTTGTTTGACTTTTTCAGCATAGAATTTGTTCCAATGACAAATAATTGCAATCATTCTGAAATTAGTATGGATGACATTCAAAAAGCCTTGTTTCAGTGTCATGGCCTGGATTCAATCACTTTAGGTTGGCCGTAATTAAGGGCCTAACCTAGTTTCCTTTCCCCATAAAAAAAAAATTGGCTTGAATCTAATCAAGCATTAAATAAACACTAGGGCCTGCTGACTACAGAGGATGTCAACAGAGCCCCAAATATCCTCAGACATCTAAACAAAACCCAGGGCTTGTCAGTGGCTGAGTGGCACAATAATTCAGTAAATGATGTTGTGAAAGATGACCAAAGAGACACCTGTGAAAATGGTAAAGTTCTGGCTCCTTAATATAGTCCCTGAAACAAACAAGAAATCTATGGACTCTGTGCGAACATTTTGGATAAAATCAGCAAATAATTTGGTACCAACCGGGTTGCAGAAGTATAACTTAAAAAAAGGAGTCATGTGACATTAGAAAAAAAATACTTAATCGAATGATATATTATACTACTTTGCAGGGAGAGCTGATTTCATTGGTCACAATTGATTGAGTTTGTTAGCTACATGTTACAACACTTACAACGCAAGTAATAATGAATCTATCTTACTCAGATTCTTAGTTTCCCCACAAGCACTCCTGTCAGATCCAACACTCTGACATGGGTATGGTCATGGATACTTACACTTCATTTTGAACCAAAACATGGAACTTTTTCATACAAAAAGATGAGCCTGAAATTCGGATACATAACAATCTCTAACACAAATGGTCAAGTCCGAGTAACATAGGTAGTAATAAGTTTGTCATAAGATTCACAACTCTTAGATTTATATCAAATACATACTAGTCTCTACACCAATGGTGAAGTCTGAGTAATATAAGAAGTGATAAGTTTGTCACAACTCACAAGACCAGTCTCTAACAACAAAGGTCATGTCTGAGTAATATAAGAAGTGTCACAAGATCATTCTCTAACACCATTGAATCAATGATCAAGTCCAAGTAACATTGGAAGTAATAAGTTTGTCACAAGATTCACAACACTAATATTTACGGACTTTATTTTCCAACTTGCTGAACAACTGGATAGTCTATAACATTCCCTCCCAAATTTTCTTCTGATAACCACAATTACTTTTTTCCCTCTCAATCTCTCATCAAGGTTTTCCTGTAAGTCAATGGTGCCTACTACACTGCTCCCTTATAATGCACAATGCTTTTTCTCTAACAAAATCCACTATTTGTGAATCAAATCTTTCCACTGGTGACGAAATATAACTAATGCTTCGAAAGAGTCAATAGACCATTCATTATCCCAAGCTAAATCTAAATAAACTCATCAATCTAGGCACCCAATTAGTTAATTATACCACCATATATATGAATAAAAGCCTGTTCCCTTCATTTCAGACTGTCAGTGATTTTACAGAAACCTTATTAGCTAGCAATTCAACCCTTCCTCATCCCAACATAGCGCATCATTCAAACTTGTCAATAGACCTGTGTTGGCTTCTCGACACTCTGACATGGGTATGAGTCCTACGACACTTAGTTTTGGACCAAAATCATGGAATTTTTTCACAAATTAAACGGGTCTGAAACAATGGACACATACCCATGTATCACACGAATACCCAATTCGAGTAACATTATAAACAACATAGAATCAAGCCAAAAACTCATACATGATGAAAATCAAGCTAAATTCAGTAATTTAAAATTAAAACACAAACCAAAAGTAGTAAACACTCAATCCAAACAAACTTAAACATTAATCCCCAACATTCTTCATAGAATTCACGACACAAAACGCAAATTAACGCCGATAATAGCATAGAAACAGTAAGAAGAGTTGAATGAAACGAAGAAGATAGAAACTAGGGATTACCAAATGGGAGAGAGAAAGTGAAATGAGAGGTGTAAGGACCAGAGAAGTTAGCAGGGCAACCCAGATGAACTTCGCTCATCACCTCCTCATTTTCCGCCATAGATATATTTGCACTTTCGTCTTTGTGTTCTTCCATTGATGTACTGTTGCTCACTCACCGTCTCTGGCGCACTTGTCTAAAACAGGCTGCCTTACTAGTTTAGTACTCCTGCAATTTTATTGGTGAAACGACCAGTATGACCTAGATATATATCAGCCTTATAAATATACTTCAATATTCATTAAAAAAGAAAAAACTTCAGTTTAGCAACAATAATTTAAGTTTAATAAATATCAAGTACATATAACACGGGCTATATACCAAAATGATCAAATGACCCAACATTTAGCTTATAAGTAAGCCTTTATGCTAGATATTTTAACCTTAATTTAGTTTAAAGAGTCGAACTCAATTGTATTTCTTGTCAAAAAAAAAAGTTGTATTTTATTTACTGATGGTTTGTTCAATCTAACTCTTTACGTTGAAGCAGTGAAGCCAAAGGGCGAGCTAAGGCTTAGCTCAAAATAGTTTTGAAGTCCTTTTTGTTATGGAAACTTCGCAATGATGCACAAGAGTATAAGACGCAGTTCAAATCTTATATATATGCTACATGTAACTACAAATTGTATGAACTAGTAAAATTAAGTGAGTTTCCTAATGAAACACTGTTAGTATTAATACTTTCAAAGAATGCCCATCTGCATGGATTTTATTGAACTGAATTAAGCAAATTTACACAGTTCAGAACCCAGGAAAAATAAAAAATAAAAATTTACAGAGAACCAAAGACTAGTATACTTCTTCCTACAAATGTGTAACAAGGTTCAAAAGCTAAAAGTTTTTATAGGTAAAAAGGACCAGCATCTTATCTTTACAATTCAAAATCACCTTGTACATTTTTCAGGACAGCTATCCTTTCTGCTAAATCATCAAATTCTGGCATCCTTGGATGCACATGCCCGTCATTGACATATGAAGAAGATCTTACGTGTCTAATTGAAGTTTTAAGCGATTCAGACTGCTGCTGATCTGGTGGAAGAGATATACTCTTGTCCGGTTTCCTTTGACTGTCGTTTGCTTCCTTAATTTTTGGAGATGCAGGCTGATCAGGCTCAGAAGAAAAGTATCTTCGTCTACCTGGAGGTAGAGGCAGCTCAGATTTTGGTGTTCCACTATCTTCTTTTCTTAGAGCAGCTGGAGCACTATCTGGTACCTTTTTTTTACCGAATTGAGTCAAAAACTTATCGAGTTTTGCTTCTTCCTCTTCATCATCATCATCTAGATCAAGATCGTATCTCCTTGAATCTGTGACCCTCGCACTTAAGCTACCCCTTGGATCAATCTCATGCTCAGCATTTCTGGTTGTGCTCGCAGTGCTTGTTGATGGCTTCAAGAACTTTGTTCTCACTGATCTTGGTCTTGCTTTAGTTTTGCCAATCAAGTCATCAACCTCATTCTTCTGATTATTATCTTCGTCTGTATTATTACTGGATTTGATGTAAGGAGCAGGAATGATTCTATTAGTGAACGGCTTTCTATAAGCATTGTTTGGAATTTTTTCTTCTTGCATGCTATTTTCTTCCTGTGATTCCTCTGCAATGTTTTCTTTCAGTCCTGTGCAAGAGTTGCGCCTTCTGGATTTAACTGGAAGAGTCTGCTCTTCATTATTCTGTTTGACACCATCAACTTGTTTTCCTTTCACTAGATCTGTGGTAGACTTGTTCCTGAACAATGTTTGGCCATCACTAGCCCCATTTACAGAAGCAGTTTTTGCAGGTTTTGCCTGAAAATGATTGGTATTAGGTGAGAAATAATGGCCTAGAATTAGCACGTACTCGTATATGAAACCTGGTGGTAAACCAACTTACTTGAGTAGGAAGGCTAGAACTTTGCAGTTGCTGCTCCAATTGTACAGGATCCCATGGCACGGAGAATTCTTGTGCTATTTCTTGCATCAATTGCAGCTTCATTTGTGTTGAAGGAGGTCTCGACAATAAGTTCTCCGTGAACTAACCATGATATCAATTTCACACAAAAGATCAGGTATGAAATTACACCCATAGACCAAATATACCTAAAGCCATATTAGCAGTACGTCTATCACAAATACCTCTTTACTGGTGAATGGCTCTAATGCTTTCCCATATTTGTCATAGAATAGATTTCTTAGCTCACGCAATTCAGGCAGATCAGAAAATCTAGCTGCAGCGTGTATCAAAGATGCCACGGCAACTCTGCATTCTTCAGGGCACTCACTGTGAAAAAGCAGTTGATATCAATACAACTGTGGAACGTAATGCTATTGTCTTCAGTGAACAGATGAACATAAGCACAATATAGAAATGACCTTGCAATTAAGGAGAGAGTCGTAGGCCCTCTTCAGTGGTATCTCTAGATTTTAAGACTAGTACTTTTATACTTCATATAACAGTAAAATTAATTTCATTCTGTATTTCAAATGTACCATTTACAAATCCTAAAGCAAGCATATTGTCCTATCTCAGCTCCTATGGTCTATACTAATACAATTACATGTGGTTTTAATGTTAGGCGAGTTTACAAACAATACCATCTAATTCATTTTCAAAGGTAAAACCTCTATACTCCTTCCATTGGAAATTAGTTGTCATATTGTCTCAACCTTCATAAAGGACATATGACAAAATCAGGACCATTATTACAACGTACATTATAACAAGTGACAATGGACGGCTATAATTAACACGAACTATATGTTACTATCAGTATCTGTATACCTCAGGGATTATTAGATATTCTTCCTTGTATAGCAAGAATACAGAGAGGGAATTAATTATTCTGGTGTCAAAAGAAAATGAAAGGCAGTTGATATGATTGCTACCCACAACTTTAACAACCTATTTGACTTAACAAATTCTCTAAAAAACTACGGCCTATTTGACTTTACATATTACTTTATAGCTGAAATACTTGGTAAAAACAATTAAAGTTTATGAGTAAACTCTCCTTAATGAAGAGAACACATGCTTGCCAATCACAATCATAACTTGGTAGTTGTAGACATGATATTAAAATGTCATAAAAGTTTTCTATCTAATAAAAATCAGCAGCATCATAGTCTACAAAGAAATAGACATTATGATCACAATTCACCAAATGCAAATGATACCTTTGCCTGTGCATTTCCTTAAGATTTTCGATGATGCAGGTGCAACATTGCTCTACGTACCCGTAACACAAAGACAGGTTTAACTCGACATATAGCCCTTCTGCCTACATAAACAAAAAAATTATGGCACGTAAATCATATGTCACGTCTAAATATCATCACGTACAACTAGTACATTTGAAGATCACACCAAGAAATGTCCAAAACATTAAGAATTACCATAGATAAAACATTCGCCCATTCGAGACGACTCCATAAAAAAGCTATAACTCCAGTTTTCTGTAGGAATGTTGATCATATTTTTATATAAGTCGCTCAACATGACATGGGGCATGTTAGCACTCACCATATAACAAGGTGCTTGTATATGAAATTGACAAGCTTGTGCAGTTGTGCTTAATGAAAGTAAGTTATTAATTATCTACCTAAAGTTTATTTTACATCAAATACATACAATCATTGAATTGCTGATGGTTAGCTCTATTATTCTTAAATGTAGTTAATATGGTTTAGCATACAAATCATTTTCAAAACGTTACAAAAAGAATGGCATGCAAGCTCCTAATACACTTACACAGGACATATCTTTTATTTCGGCAAATAGAGCCTTAGACGAGATTTGATCACGAAATATTTTCGAAACAGGAAACAATAGTGAAAGAATAATAAGATACCCTGCCATAGGCATTACGATCGAGGTTACTTTTCAAAAGCTCAGCTATATCTTTCTTCAAAAACCTCTGCATTGCATTGCGTCTCTTCTTTATCACCTCTAATCGCGTTTTTGTGCGACTCAACAACGATTTGCTGTTTTACATTCACAAATCAAAATTAAATTGAATTACCCAGAAACCAAATTGAATCAAAATCTTCATTAACAACTAAACCCAGATTCGCATCAATTGATACCAGCAACAAAACCCCAGAAAACATGAACATCTTTAACTACAATCAACAACAACAAAAAAAAAAAAAAAAAAAAACAGAAATGTTCTTTATCCAGTAATCAGCAAAAACCCAGAAAAATCTTTCAGTATTAATCAATACGAACCCAGAAAAACCCAAAACCACGTTGGTAAATTTTTCACAAAAACCCACAAATTTCAATAGAAATCATTCGAAGATGAAAAACAGAGCATCAAAACAATTCTGAAAATCATACCATTTGGTTCTGAAATTACTGCGAAAAATTCCGTCCAACATTTGTTCTGAATAATTTGATTTCTTCAGAATATTATACGAAGTAGTATATATAAAAGAAAAAATGAAAATAAAGATTTTGACCGAATGTGGGAAGTATAATTGTTTGTGTTTAAGCCAATCAAGTCACGGAAAGAATGAGGTAAATTTTTGGATAAGAACAAAATTCTACCCAGAAAAATTAAAAATCAAGAAAAGAAAATAGAAAAGGAAAAGAATCTGAAAATTGATGAACTGTGACGAAGAAAAAAAAAACCCAGAAAAATGAAATTTATAGAGGAGAAAGAAAGAAGGAGCAGCTGAGGTGGAGGGAGGAAGCCACGTAGGAGAGAGAAAGGTGAAAAAGAGGGCAAGAGAGTCTGTTAACAAAGGTGATCTGAATATAAGGGAGTTGGTTTATCACTGTAATAGTCATACAAAAATATACAATATGGTTATAAAATGAAAAAACAGGGTGTAAAAAATTAGGACATGGTTGGAGATGATTTGAACTTTTCTAATGTCAAGTTGTATTGATTGCCTCAACTTGGAGGTTTCAATTTTAAGGGTATGCTGTGGGACTATATTGATCGGGTTTTAAGGGTATAATCGTAATAAACTTATTATAAGTTTTTTTGAAATAGAAATGTCAAATGTGATAACTTATTCAAATATTATGTGAGTAAATACAAAAGAAATGTACTGAAATTTGGCAAAAGTTGCAAACAAGGTACTGAAGTTACAATAATTGCAAAGAAGGTACTGAAACCTTGGTCAAAGGTAAAAAATCCGGTAATGACCTACATCAACCGGTGAACTCCCTTTTCAACTTTAAAAAAAAAAAAAAAGAATTCAAAAAAATCTAACAAGCTTTCCCACATAATTTCAAAAATCTTTCATCAATCATACAAATAAATGAAAAAAAAAAACATGCAAATGAATCAATAACAAATATATAACATTCAGTATTATCAACTGATTGATCAAAGTTGTATGCCAATAATTAATTAATTAATTTATTAAAAATGCAGACCCTAGAATTAACCGAAGCAATAAAATTGAAAATTATAATTAATAAAATTGAAGGGAATCAACTGATCCTCACCACTAAACCACTTCGGTGAAAGTTGATGAATTGAACTGGTTGGAGATTATAGATCTAGAAACTCGAAACAAATTAGACGATGAAGCGAAGAACAACAAATCGTTAGACCGTCTTTTCGAAAAGGTTGTATATTCTAGTGATGTGTGCGAGAGATGTACCACAGTGTAAGATCTCAACGATCATAACTTTGATGAAAGAAACCCTAATTTGATTCAATTTTATGTATTTGTTAATTTAGATTTCATTTGTAGATGTCGGATGGCTTTTTATTAATGAATTGATTTGTTTTTTAAAAAAAATAGACTCCATATGACTATATTTGCTCTTATACATTGAAGGAAATTTAGAAGAATAATTGTGAAACGAAGGAAGTAAATTCAATTATCCGGGTAATTATTTCGATCATCTAGAAATGGTTACATTTTTTTTGGGGTTGTTTAGAGAGCCACAAGGGCAGGGGTGAGAATCGATTCCAAGATCTCCTTAAATCGGGAAGAAAACTCTAACCACTTGAGGTATCCCTCGCTCTCACAATTTATTCAAACATTTAGAAATGTTATACAAATATGTGATTTTAAACTTATGGCGGATTAAAAGAACATAATTTTTTTGTTATTATCAAAATGATATTTGAATGATACAAAATCCCAATAATTACAACCCAATAAACTAGGTGAGTGATAGGCTGTCGTCGAGCCTACCAAATATAATAATTCCTATCTTGGTCTCACTAACTATAGTAAGGGTAAGAAAGGGTCGAACCCAAGAGAGGCGTTGAATCAACCACCGAGTACTACCGTTTAAATAAGCTAAACGAATTCTAAATTGGGTTGGTTTTGAGTAACTTCTTCTAACACAATTCAACTAAGCTAAGAGGAGGTTAACAATATTTAGAGGAATCTAGGGCTTGGGTTATACCACTCAACTTCATCACAAATCACAATTAGCATGCAACAATCAAGGTAAATTGATGGGATAAATTAGGGGAAGTCATCTAAAGCACCAACTACTCTCTCAAGCTAGAGGGATTACTTGAATCATGAATACAACCTACTCTCGTGGTTACATAGCATAAAACAAGTGTTAAAGCATAATCACGATGACATAAACATTCCCTTGACCGGTAATCCCTATTCTCATGGCATTTCGGGTCAATCAAGCATAAGGGAGCTAACTCAAGTTCATCTCTCGATCCTTCGTTGAGAAAGCTTGGATAAATAGTTCTAGCAATGGCCATATAGAAGAACTAAGCAATTAAACCACTTAAGCTCAACTAATTAACATCCCACAACAACCAAATTAGCACATGCAACAAGTAATTAGTGACTACATTGAGGGTTTTGCCCAAACCCTAGAATTTAGACTACTCACAATCCATGGGGGTTAAAGCAATTAAAGATTTCAAGCAATTCATGAACAAATTCAAACTAAGAATTAAGCTAATTAACAATCCAAAACATGCAAGAACTAGCAAATAATTAACAACAAAGTAAAGAGAAATAGAAAAGATGAGTAAGAAATGGTTACTATGAAGCTTCAAGGTGAGCAACAATGGTGGATTTTGTCTTCTACAATGATTGAATTTGAATAATTCCAAGCTAATAATTGAGAACTAACTAATGATTTGAGAATTTAATGTCCTAAGACTACAAACTAAGAGAAAAGCTCTCAAAAACTGCATACCCCGTACAAATGAGCTCTAAAGGGGTATTTATATCACCCCCAAATAAAAAGGACGGAGAAAACAAGGAAGAAGTTCGACTGCAGGTCTGCACGGACGTGCCAGATTCGGCACGGACGTGCAAGCATAAGCACGGTCGTGCCAGATTCGGCACGGACGTGCAGAGGGGGCAGAATTGAGGCAGAACGTACTGCTAAGAATCGAGCAGTTCCGCACGGACGTGCAGATATTGGCACGGACGTGCAGCTACATCTGCACGGACGTGCTTAATTTGGCACGTCCGTGCAGGCCTTGGCAGATGTTCTGAGTTTCTGGAGCACTCCTGCACGGACGTGCAAAGTCTGGCACGGCCGTGCACCCTCTTCTGCACGGACGTGCCAGATTAAGCACGGTCGTGCAGGCCTTGGCAGCTTGCTGAAGCTTTCTGGAACCTCCTGCACGGACGTGCAAGGTCTGGCACGGCCGTGCAGGGTCTTCTAAGCCCCTTTTTTCATATTTTCTTCTATAATGCTCCTTTCCTTGGCTTCTTTCATCCATCTTCTTGCTTCTAACCTCGGCTTTGTATCCATGGGCTCCATTTGGTCGTTCTTTTGAACCTAGAATCTCAACAAAAACACCAACAACCCGTGAAGCATAGGATACACAAAAATTGCATAATAATAGAGTAAAAATGAACCAAAACGCAATTTTTATCAAGTAAACTAGGTTCAAAACACCCTAAAATCGTATCAAATAGCAAGTTATCAAATCCCCCCAAGCTAAGCTTTTGCTCGTCCTCGAGCAAAACAAAAATGTCAAACCAAAGGAGGAAAACAAATTGCTAATCATCAATCCAAGGAGAGGCAACAAGGGGGAAGCATACATAAACAAAATCCGCATGGTGACAACCATCATCACTTTTAGCACAAGTGAGAAGCAATTTAAAATTCTAAGTCGCCTCAGAGGACGAGTTTTTATCTCGTGAGGGTTTCCAATGAGTTTGCCCCACAACTCACGCAGTCCACAACACATCGCCAAAAATCGCACAAGTTCAATTTTTCGCCCAAGTCAACTCATCGGGATATGAGACACAAGCAAGATAAGAGAACGACTTTCAAGAATTACCGATCATACAAATGTACACATGAGTTGGGGGTAGAGAGGAAAACTAAACAAGGTTGCACTAGGATACTTCCTTTGGCCTTTTACTAGTTCATTAGAGCACACCTAGATATTCCAAAGTTGTAATGAGCCCTCTTTCGGTTATAAAATCTCAAAATGCTAGTCCACCTCCCAAAATGCACACCCAAGGCCCCTTAATTACACTCTAACTCGGGAATTTCACAAGAAACAATAAGCAACAAATTCGACAATGTGTGGGAGGCATCCACAAGTTGACCTCTAAAGAAAAGAAAATCAAAATTTTGAGAATTTTTGGGGGAGTTTTTTTTTTGTTCTCCCTTCTTTTCTATTTATTTTTTTTATTTTTTTTTCATTTTTTTTTTACATTATTGCCCTCGCCTCTTTTAACTGTGAGCGGCTCTTTCTTTATTCGAAACGTGTGGCTTATTATGCCACTTATTACACATAATACAAGTATAACCAATTCCCTAATAGAGTTTCATTTCGGGGAGGAAAGGAGGCACATTAAGGGCACAAGGGACCGCAATTTGACTCAAACATATCCTACTTTAGGCAAATTTAACAATATCCTATGCTAGACGTGCAATTGAGCATTCATCGACTTTCATTTCATATACACTAATGCAACCAGGATTAATAGACCTCTAAATGACCCCAACTCTTGCATGCACCCTTCTAAAAGAACTTTTACTCATCACTCAAGAGTCAAACAAGCAAAACATATTAGCGTCGTCATTTGAGTTTCATCCTTGGGAAATTTTTTCATTTTTCAATATTTTTCCGTTTTTCGATTTTTTTTTTTTTTTTTGAGTAAGAAATGAAAAATTACAGCATTAGGCTAGCTAAACTAAGCATAAAAATAATAATAAAAAAAAAAACTATACATCTAAATGAAAAGATAAGAGAGGTATTCACAAGATAAGAAATTTGGATTTAGGGTATTGGATTTCAAAGGGAGCAAATTTGGATTTAAAGGATTTGGATGTTAGGGAAGAAGAGAATGGGAAAAACCAACATGCAAAATCAATCATGGAAACACGAAAACACAACACGAACCAATGACACATGAGAGAACACTCCCCCCCCCCCCCCAAGCTATCATAAACATTGTCCCCAATGTTAAAGCAATGCAAGCACAAAGAGAAGGGGAGGAAGAAACTAACTCATTGGTTCGGGCCCCCTTGGGAGCTTGAGCCCCCTGGGTAGAGATGCCGGTACATAGTGAGGAAATCGCCCAACTCCGATCTGAGACCTTCGAAACTTGTTATCATGTTGTCAAAAGAAGTCCTCATATCTTCGTTTGATTTCCTTAAGGTCTCGAATTCGGTGGTCATGCGGGCGAAATTCGCATTCATGTTGGCTACTTGCTGCTCAAAAGAGAGGTATGGGTTATTTTCACCCACACCTTGATCTTGGTAACCCTCTTGGTCCCTTTGTTGGAACTCGTGTTGTTGATGAAATTGCTGTTGCTGAAATTGTTGATGATGTTGATGTTGTTGAAATTGTTGATGATGTTGTTGCTGTTGTTGTTGTTGTTGGAATTGTTCCTCACCGCCTTGGGGTTGGTCATCTTCTCCACCCGGAATCCACTCAAAATCCGGCTCAAAGACCCAATTCTCGGGGTTGTAAATAACCGTGGCTTCCGGATTTGGCAAAGTTGCATAGGGGCGCCTACTTACCATCCACGTGTAGGTCCTACCCTCTTCATCTTCCTCCAACCAATGCATAGCCTTGAGGGAGCGGATGTTGAGTTTCGTTGGGCCGGGAATGATTTCCAAATCTGCAAAATTAAGATCGAGAAAAGCAGCAATAATAGTGATCATCCCCCCAATTGTTATCACTCCACTCCCCGAGGATACATCATCTAGGTGGTCTACAAGCCAAGCCCCTAAGTTCAACCTCTCGTCATCCTCACTCAAGTGCCAAAGAAAAAGCAACTCACGGTTAGAAACTACACCCGAACTATCTCCCCTAGCAAAAATAGTATTAGCTATTAGGCGCTGGGATAGTCTAAAGGCAGGGTGTACTATGGCCGTGGCCTTGTCGGTCCTAGGGTCTCTAGTAAATAGGCCGGTGATTTTCCTCCAAAAAGATCCCGGGTTATGCTTTCGGGAAGGCTTATCCTTAGGTCCGAATTTGCCATCCGTTGGCCACCCAAATGCTTGGTTCACTTGTTCTATGGTCATCTTGT